ATGATAAAAAATTATATAAAATAAATCAGATTATACAAAATATATAAGTACATAAATAAATAAAAGATCCAAATATAAAACCACTTGTATGAAGGTAAAAAAAGCCCGTTTGTGATGTAAAACACTGGCAAGTCCTGATTTAGAAAATCTTTAACAAACAGACCTGAATGGACAAAGATTGATGCTTTTATATTAACCTGCAGAAGGAAGCAGGTCAGTCGAGATTCACTTCTAATGATTCAGCAGACTCCATTAGACTCATTAAAACTGACAGGCCAACAGATTTATGTTTTGATCGTGTAAAGCTGTTCAGAAGAACAAAAAGAACAGAACTGAAGAAGTTTTCCAGAATCTGCGTGTCCCAGCGCCATTTGCGCAGGAGTGGATAATCACAGACCTGTGTGAGTTTGTAAAGCTCCTTACAAATCCTCTTAAAGATTCCACAGTGAGAAGAGGCAGCACATCGTCGCTGTGAACAGGTACGAGTGAAGAGAAGGTTTGTTCTGTTTACTGTGTGATTCACACAGGTGTGCCATGAGTCCTCATTGATTGTTTGGATGAATCGCTGGGTTTGATGTGGCTCGTGTCGATACGTTTGTTTTTGTAACGCTGATGCAGGAGGAGAAACCTGTTTGAATGCTGCATTTGATGCTCTTTTGTCGAACAGAAGTGATTCATGTTTGATGTGAATCTAACAGTCATTCATCTGATGACTCATCTGACACTGCTTTTGTTGTGTATACTGTATGTACACTACTGGCCAAAAGTTTGGAATAATTGAGATGTTTTAATGTTTATGATGGAAGTGTCTTTTGCTCACCAGGGCTGCATTTATTTGATCAAAAATACAGTAAAAATTGTGAAATATTATTACAATTTAAAACAGCTGTTTTCTATGTGAATATCTATTAAAATGTAATTTATTTCTGTGATCAAAGCTGAATTTTCAGCATCATTGTGTCACATCAGAAATCATTCTAATATGCTGATTTGCTGCTCAAGAAACATTTCTGATTATTATCAATGTTGAACACAGTTGTGCTGCACAATATTTTTGTGGAAACTCTGATACATTTTATTTTTCAGGATTCACAGATGAATAGAAAGTTCAAAAGAACAGCATTTAGCCTATTTGAAATAGAAATATTTGTAACATTATAAATGTCTTTACTTTCACTTTTAAACCATTTAATGCGCCCTTGACTCCTTGATGAATAAAACTACAGTAAAATCTTAATTATCCCACATTTTTGAATGATTTCCGCAAAAATATTGAGTGTTATCAACATTGATAACATTCTTTTTTTGTTCTTGTTGTTCTTTAATGTTCTTGTAATGTTCGATCGTAATGGTTCCAGTCTTTTGGCCGGTGGCGTACTGTATGTAATGCTGTAACTCAGGGTTTGTATTGGAACAGACTCCAGTCGTTTGACCCACAAACCGGCCTGTGATCTGATCAATCATTCATACGGTCAGCAGCTGCTGGACCCGATCTCTCCATCTCTGCTCCTTCTACCAGTGTGTTTCTGTCTGTAGGACACGTGTGTGTGTGTGTGTGTGTGTGTGTGTGTGTGTGTGTGTGTGTGTGAGTG